TAATTTATCACAGTTGCTTTGTTATAGTGACAGAAAGCCCAATAAGCACAGTCCCCAAAGTAGTGTCAAGTAACCTACGGGTGCATGAGTGTTTTTCATGAAACACTGTCCCCATTTTAGGAACGGATGCCCTGCCAGCAGATTATTTCACCCACAGGCAAGTGAAAGCAGACTTCAGTCACCAACTATGCTACCCCTCACAGTCACAACCAACCTTGCTAGCGCAGAAAATATGCCAACCTACCGGGAATTATTTAAGACGCATAGAGGAGCACTAAATGCAAGGTAAAAATGGGCGCGCCGGTTGAGCGTCATGATGCGCCAGGCGCTACACACATTTCAGTCCCTGTAATCTGATCACATAGGGGTTACCACTACACTTATTTCACATGCGTGACATCCAGGGTTGGGGAGTATAAGTACATACCTAGGACCATATCACTAAGGTCTGTGAGATCCCAAAATTAAACCCAGGGAGGCTAAAAAAAGGATGTTATCAAAGGGAAAAGGCCCTATCACAATTCTCTTTTGGAGTCACACTGGCCAACTGTTTCTAAGAATGTAATGAACAACTTTCTCTATAGAAATAACAGAAAATAAAAAAAAATTGAGAATATGAATTCCAACCACATGAACTTGTGAAGGCAGAAAATGAAGAGCAGGAAAGTGATGCTTCTCAGCCAAAACTACCTTGCTAAGTGTTTATGGAGTTGAGAGTAGAACCGAGACTTTCAGCCTCTGGATTCAGAGGGGTTTCCTTCTAATCATGAAGGAAAAGTGTGTGACTGTCTGCACCCTCACAGCATGCCGTTAGTCATGCGCCAGGCAGTTTTAGATAAGTGCGATGGTATGTTATTATCGAAACCAGATTTGTAACCCAGGCTATTTGAGATGAGGTGTGAGAAGAATAGAGGTGACTTTTCATGTTCTTAGAAGGACTTTTTTTTTTTTTTGTAAGAAATAAATTCCTTCATCTCAGTCTTAGGAAAGACTACTTTAATATAAGAAGTGAGCAAGAAAGGGAGACAAGAAGGACACACACACATATATATATACGTATATATATGACATATGCTGTATATGCATAATGCATTTGAGTATGTATATGTCCATACATATAGATATACATATGTTCATAGATATTTATGTACACGTACTTGCAGTTATAAATGTGGCCGTGTGTATATACGTGTGCATACATATAGATACACATATGTACATAGATATTTATGTATATACATTTGCAGTTTTAAATGTGAACTTGTTAAGTATTTTTATAGCAAAGAGAAAACCAACAGAAGTAATATTTTTGAATAGAAACTTTTCTGCATTTCTGAAACAGGATATCAGAAGCAAAGATGACTTTCAGTATTTTTAAAGCACCAGGTGTGGGGCAGGATGGAGCACAGTCCTGCCAAAATAAATATGGTAGAAGAAAACCCAAGGGACCTGAGGGCCCAAGATATAAAGCCTGAGCAGGGCTTGAAGGCACAGTCCCACAAACCCAGCTACACGGGGAACTGAAGCGGAAAGGTCAGAAATTCAAGGTCTGATTGGCGTACAACAAGTTTAAGGCCAGTTTGCGAATCTTAGCAAAATTTTATTTCACAAACATAAAAAAAACTGTAAATTATTCTGGAAAATTTATCTAGGTGGTAGAGTGCCTTGCTCAGCATAAAAGCTCCCAGGTTGTAACCCTAGTCCTGCTAAGTGAATGAAAGAACAAATAAATGAAATGAAAGAATTGACATTCCTAGTTTAGGAAGAAGGGGGACTTGTTCCAGGATAAAAAGTCACTAAGGATATAAACAAATCCTAACAGTAGTGGCTATGCCTATGGGAAGTTTTAGTGCCACGTAATGTGTATGGATGTTCATTGGATGGAAAAAGTTAAAAGTGTGCTATCTGTGTCTGGACAGTGGAAAAAAGTGGGGAATGGAAAAAATTGAGAAAAGAGTGAAGGTGAAGGGGGACATGAAAATGAGATTCACCTGGAAGAGAAAGATGCTATCCTCTAACCCCAGTATTGGACCATGGCAGAAAACAAAACAAAACAAAACAAACAAACAAACAAACAAAAAACCTCAAGAAGGTCTTTTAAGGATATGAAATGATAGTAAAGTCTTCATGTCGCTGAAAGTTCTGTGTTTCTGCCACTGTGAGGAAGATGGGCAGAGGGAAGTCCGTCAGAGCACAGGGCTGCCGACCTCAGCCTCCACCTGCCATAGGAAGATTTCAGTAATGCTCATCAGAGGCCAGAGAAATGCAAGGCAGGTTGAAGAAGCAAGCTTCCTACTCTAAGAGAGGCCAATGAAAAGAATCCAGAAATAGAACCAGAGGATCCAGTTCCAGCAGGAGGAGCATGAGGGAGACGGATGAAGTGGGGAGCAAACCCCCTTGGGGAAGTGGGTTGAACTTAGGCCAGCAGGGTGGTGGAAAATAGCTGTTGGTGCCAGGAGAAAAATGAATCGAGTGAGAGGCCACAGGAGGGTGGGGGAGGAGGGCACAGGGCAGGCCCCACAGGAATTGGAGACACAGAGTGAGAGATGATCATTCCAGCTGTCCAAAATCCATTCTTTTGATTTTTGTACTGGCAGGAGGAGAATCTGGATGGGAGCTGAGAGCGACTATCGTGGGAGGACAGAAGGTGCTGGAGTGGGTGGGTGTCAGGCTGTCATGGGCCAGTGTGAGTGATAGCATTCTCTCTCTCCTCCATGTCTGTATCAAGAGTGAGCTTGTTTCTTATGTTTGCTGCCTGCAGAGAACAGATCCAAGACCAGACTGTGCTCTGGGAAAGGGCAAGCCACCCTCAAAGAACATGTCACCAGGGGCTTCTGAACAGCCCCTGGAAGGAGCGCTCTCTCTGTCATGGCTGTGGAAAGGGCCAGGCAGATTTCTGGCAATGGCTGGTTAGTGACCAGAGCTTTCTGGGTTCATGGAGTTCCTCCGACTCCTGGTCCCGGTCCATCTCAGCCACAGTTCATGGTGGCTGTGCCCAGGAAGGCTGCAGAGAAAATTCTCTACAGAGCCCAAGGGAAACTGGACCAAGAGTGAGCAGTGTTCCAAACTCCACCCTCTTTCCCCCAGCACTTCCAGGAAATGAAGGAGGAAATAAAGAAAAGGGGGTGTACACCTTCCAAGCAAAAGAGGTTCATCATGAAGATAAAGTTGGTGTCTCCTCTCCAACTCTGATACAGTACAAAGTTGAAGAATCTAGGAACAGTTAAAACAATTGAGTCAAATGAACTACACCTTAGAATAATTCATTAGTTATTTATTTACTGAATAGATTTTATAGAGGCTACCCTTAATGTTAGGTACCCATATTAAAAAGATATTATGCTCAGCCCAAAACATTGTAATTTATACCAAAGACTATATAAAAATAACACTTCAGAGATTATGATGTTGTTGGCCTATGTTTCCAGCATGGTATCAGGCAAAAGAGGAAAGAAATATTTATCATAAATAATAAAAATAGATGAAAGTTATGGGGCACAGTGGCCAAGTTAAATAATTTTCTTTGGAATGAATCGTTCTTGTGGGCATATGTACCTTTCTACTACATTATTTGGAAGCAATGGGGTATGTTTAAGACCCCTGCATTCAGCTGAAATTGGTTAGAGGCCTTGAGAAAACAGTGTCTATAATTCATGATTCTGGACTAGGATTTTTGACATGTCCAAAAGGACTCCCAATGGGATGCGAGGTTGCTGAGTTAAAGAAAGTTGTTTGGCCATTGCTCAATGATCGTATTATAGGCCTATTCTAAAGAGAAGGCACATCTGTGAGAAGAAACAGGGAGATAGATCACAACAGCAGTGAAACATGGCTGGGCAATGTAGAGGCAGTAGAAATAGAGACAAGGGGAACCTAGCTAAGTTTATATCAGCCAGAGTCAATTATCAGAGCTGATTTAATTAAAAAGCAAGTTAAAAAAAAAGTCCAGGAATTTTGGCTAATTTGTCTTTCTTAAAAATTGAGGGCTAACAAACATTAGGTGGAGCTTGGGAAATCCTGTGGAAGAAGGAGGAGGAAGGATTGTAGAAGCCAGAGGGATGAAGGATACCACAGGAAAAACCTACAGAATCAACTAACCATAGGTGCTCACAAAGACCCAACCGCCAATCAGATAGCATGCGTGGGACTGACCTAGGCCTTCTGCACAGATGTTATAGTTGTGTAGCTTGGTCTTCTGTGGGACTCTTAACAGTGGGAACAGGGGATGTCTCTGACTCTGCTGTCTGCTTTGGGGACCCTTTCCTTATACTGGCTCCCTCGTCTAGCCTCAATAGGAGAAGATGCGCCTAGTTTTACTGCAACTTGATATGTCAAGGTTTGTTGATATCCATGGGAGGCTTCCCTTTTTCTGAAGAGAAAAGGAGGAGAAGTGGATGGGAGGAGGAAAGAATGAGAGGAGAGGAGGAAGGAGGAAACTGTGGTTAGGAGGTTAAGCAACAATGTTAATTAACAATGTTAATTAATTAATGCCTGAGAACACAGTTCAATGGTAGAGCGTTTACCTAGCACACATGAGACCCTACGTTCAATTCCCAGAACTTCAAAAACTCTGGGAGTCGGAGCCATGGCTGTGGCTCTCTTGGCAGAGTACTGAACTGTGATTTTGCTGGTTCATGGATCAGATAATGGACCCATCCCTGACTCTGCTGCATGCCAATGTTTTTCCATTCAGATTCAGACATCAAATGGGTTTAGGGACCAGCTTGGTTACGTCGTTGGGCAACATGACCTGCAGGTACTTGAACTCCTTTTGGTCATTGTATTTTTCCAAATAGTAAATTTGTTCACGTGCCTCTGGCCTCCAGACACCTCCGGCAGCTCTAGCAGTGGTTCTTAAACTGTCGGTTGTGACCCGTTTGGGCGTCTGATGACCCTCTCACAGAGATCACACATCAGATATTTTCATTACAATTCATAACACCAACAAAATCACAGCTATGAAGTAGCAATGAAAATAATTTTACGGTTGGGGAGCTCACCACAACAAGAGGAACTGTATGAAATGGTCACAGCGTTAGGAAGGCTGAGCACCGCTGGGCTGGAGTCAGGCTGGAGATTTCTGAGCAACAGCACTGGTGGAGAGAGAGGGAGGGATGCATCAGCCCTGATCCCTCTGCCAACCCACACCTCACCTCACCCTCCTGAAACGCTACTTCCTCAGCACAGTGGTTCTCTCGTTCCCACCCCTCTACTTGGAACCTTGTCGTAACCTGAACTAAGTTCTCTCTTCTTCTGACTCTAGCCACTTGTCAAAGCCTACATGAGGTGGAGTTTCCTGGCCTATCCCACACCAACTACCATCTCACCTCATTCCTTTCTTCACTCACTGCTAGGCTGAATTCACATTGTGATTTGCTGATCACATTTCTAAGATATCTAGAATTTCCCAAGCACTGGGCGTGCAGATTCAAGACACATTCTGGGTCCTCAAGGGGTTCGTTTGTGAAGACACCTCTGTTGATCCTTGGTTCTCACAGGACCCCCTGTGAGCTACAGCCGGCACTGCCTGAGAACTACCATCTCCTGTCCTCTTCACGTTGTTTTCTTGCATATATAAAACACTTTCATTAAGGATGGTAGCCGACCCTTCCCCCCATCCTCTCAGTCTCACACAGCTCATCACACTTGTTAAAACCACAGAAGACAAGGGAGCCTCGTGTGCTGGTAGCAACAAGTGTGATGAACTGGAGAGTGAATGGGCAGTTCCACGGACAACGTGCTCAGCTCTTGAAGCAGATTGCGCCTTGTGATCTCTGGAGACCAAGATGGGAGCAAGACCCATTTTTAAATCAGTGTGGAAGGCCTCTCAGGATCTCACTGGGGAGGATGTCCCCTTAGGAGACACTGAGGGGACAGGTGAGTTAGCTTGTGATGTGAGCACCGAGCCAGGCTCGGAGGGTTCCAGCCCTGCCTTCACTCACAAGGCACCCTGGGCAGGCAGTGAAGTTCAGCCTGGCTGGCCCATCACTGCTGAGGGAGGAGACTCCATCTTGCCCAGCCCTCTTCTGGTTCTGCCTGCTTATGTAAGGTCACCCAGACAGAGAACGTGCTCTGGAGAACACATGGTCCCATCTTTAACACAGTGGACTTGGACTTGAAGAGTCCAAGTCATAGCCTTGGCGCTGGCCCTAATGACTTGTGTGGCTCAGGACAACCACTTTTCTTCTGGGTCTCAGTTTTCCCAACTGAAGTAGCTTGGTAATTTTTGTTCGGTGTGTGTACCCGTGTGTGGATATATGTGGTATGCATTCATGCGTGTGTGTGTGTGTATATGTGTATGTATTTGTATGTGTATATATGTGTATGTATGTAGGCTGTGTATGTACGTGGGGTGTGTGTGTGTGTATGAATGTGTGTGTATGTATGCCTGTGTATGCTCATGTGTATTTAGGTGGGGTGTGTGAATATGTGTACATGTATGTGGGGTATGTGTGTATTTCTGTGTGTGTATGTATCTGGTGCACATGTATGTGTGTGACACAGTTAGGCTTTACCACAGAAGTCTAAATTCAGGGAGAGATAAAGAAACAGGGTTGAGTTTCCTGCTATGGCCCAGAGAGAGATAAATCAACTCCATACTCACTCAAGCCCTCCTCTTCCACACCCTCTAACACATACTTTGAAAACCTCTAGAATGGTAAGCTGCACTTTTTCCTAATTAGGCTTTACAACCACAGTTAATTTTAAGAGACCCACATCCAAATATATACATGCTGACAAGCTGTATAGAGTTTACTGCTGCCTATCTGTGTCTTGGCTATTAATAAAATTCATTTTAGTTTTTTTTTTTTTTTTTTTTTTTTTTTTTGAGAACCAAATAAATACAACTAGAAGGTTCAATATCTTCTTCCCACACCCCAGTGGCTTGCCTTCTTCAGGGCCTGTGGTGTACACACCCTGGTTTGGAGAACACTGGCCCCAGGGGGTCCCAGGCTCTTTTCAGCCCTGCTGTTCTAGGTGTCTGGGCCTAGAGCAAAGAAATGGTGTCGGTTTTTCCCAGTCCTGATCATTGCTCATGGATGCAGCAGCATTTAATTTGGGAAAATGAAAATATCAAGGTCACTTCAGGGGAAGAAAAATATTCCACTCTCAACTGGAAGCCATGTCGTACTTCTCAGTGGGCTGGGCACATCCTGCTGGCTCAAGGGTCCCGCTGGAGCTAGCAAGCTCTCTCTAGCTTCCTGGTAAGGTTTTCGTTTCTTTCTTCTAGCCATGAACGGGTAGCCCTGGATCAGGCAGTGCTGAGGGGTTTCTCTTTTCTTTTATTTTTTTCCACAAACAAAAAGAAAAATTTCTTGTAAACAAACAACCTGCAAACTTTCTTCACAATTTAAGAAGTGTTTTATGAAGAGTGGGGAGCGTAGTGCGTGCACATAGCTTCTTCTTTCTCCTCAGGCCTTGGGTAAGTGACTGTTTTGTTCAAGAAAGGTCGCTTTCTTTGGGAGGACCACAGGGCTCAAGGGAGTGGTGGCTGAAACCCAGTCCCCGGTCCCTATCCACTCATAACTCATTTGAGAGATATGCAAAGTTGTCAGGACTGCCAAAGGTCCGCTTGCCAAGGCAAGCTTCTCTCCAGTGCACTTCTATATTTATGAGAAACCGAAATAAAAAACAGCGCTAAAAGGCAACAGACCCACAGTCAGGCAATCCCCCTAACAAAAGGCCATAGAGTGGGGACAGGCCATCAGGAGGTCACCCAGAACAGAATGGTCACTTCATGGCTCCAGGGGTCCTGATCCTGCCTTAGCTTGAAACCTATCTTCAGACAGAGTCTGGGGAAGTCTTAATTACCCCTGTGTCAGTGTGGTCACCAGCGGAGTTCCCTAGGGTTGCCATAACAAAGTACCACAAATCACGTGGCTCACGTCAACTGTATAGCTTTCTCATGGTTCTGGAGGCCCAAAGTCTCAAGTCAAGGTGTCAGCAGGGCAATGGTGCTCCCTCCAAAGGCTGAAGTCAGGGGCTCCTCCTACTTTCTCCACGATTTTGATCGTTTCTGACATCCTTAGTGTTCCCTGGCTTAGAGCTATTTCATTTGCCTACTGTGACCTTTCCCCTGTGCATCTGTTTATTTTGTGGAACCCCCTTTACTCTTCTCTTTCCTCCTCCTCCCTCCTCTCTCATTTTTTGGGGAGAGGGCTCTTAGATAGCCCAGGCTGCTTCAAACTTGCTATGTAGACAAGGATGACCTTGAACTTCTGATCCTCCTTTCTTTACCTTCCGAGTGCTGGAATCACAGGCCATTCCACCAGGAACTCCTGATTTACACAGTGCTGAGGATCTAACAGTAGCATCCTGGCATGGCAGAGAAGCATTCTACCTGCCGAGAGAGATATCTCCAATCCCTTCAGGTTACTTTTCTAAGGATATCAGTTACATTGACTTTAGGCCCCATGTAATCCAGTATGACATAATATTAACTTAGCTACATCTACAAAGACCCTGTTTATCAATAAAGTAACTTTTATAAGTTCTAAGTGGACATAAATTTTGGAATAGGCAGCATATTTAACCCGATGAGGTACCTAAATATACCTTTCCCCAGGGAAGCATAGGGGCTAAAGTGAAACAGTGTGTTTTGCTTTTTAATTTTGAATAACAATAAATTATTATTATTATTATTATTATTATTATTATTATTATTATTATTAT